GGCTGTGAAGTAAATCAATACCACTCAAACAATGTCAAGGACACCAGATTTCCTTCATAGTCCAATCCCCTTTGCCCAAGCTCACAGAATGGTCTAGCATTTGATTTCTAGCTTGTTTTAGGCATTCTATTCTACCCACCTACATTTGTTTACATTTTGCCAACCCCTTGACCGATTTCTTGGCTCACAAGTTCCTTTTAGCACCCGACTTCTCTTTGGGGCTCCATTCTGTTTCTGCTTACACTGCAGCCTTCACTAGAACTTCTGCTGTACCTTAGAGAAGGCTTCCTCTCTCCATACACTGCCTGGCACGGAGACTAAGTGGGTTCAGATAGGACAAGCTCACAACTCTCACTAGAAAAACAAATCCAGAAACAGCTCTGGACAAGAGATGATTTGAAGGGAGATGTATCCATCCATTTTCAACTTCTGAGCCGCAATAGTCAGAACTTCTATGATCTTCAAACAGATCTAGATAGGCACGTCCCTTTAGAGCTCCCACTTCTAGAACTCTGTGACTAAGTGGATAAGAAGAGCCTCTCCACAGATCAAATGTCAGCATTCCACCATGCTATCGTCCTTAAGAGCTCCTCAAGTTTTGTTGTTGATGTGCTTTTGTTTGTTTGCCTTTTCAGTTTTGTTTGTTTGTTTGAGACAGGGTCTCACTATCTTGTTCTGGCTATCCCAGAACTCAATCTGTAGATCAGGCTAGCCTCGAACTTTGCCTCCTGAGTGCTGGGATTAAATCCTATCAAGTTTTAACAAAGATTAATCAGTGTCAAGTAATAAAAGCAGAAATTAACCTGCTCTTTATAGATACCACACTTTCAGAAACTTTCTATTTATGCTGCTCAAATTTTTAAAATCTCCAGATATTCTTAGGATTCAAATAGTTAAAACTAAAGAAATGTCCCAAGGGCTGAGGCTGCAGCGTAGTGAACCAGTGCTTGCCTGGGCCTCTGAACTGAGTTCTCAGCACTGAAAACTAATTAATTATTCCATTTGAAAGTGTCTCTACTTAACAATGAATTTTGGGTGGCCTAAAAATACATTTAGCAGAGAAGACTGTTAACAGTCCCATAAGTTAAGGCTGCTCAAAAGCAGGTGCCCCATAAAAGATTGGCGACGTGGTGCTTACATGACCCAAACAGAATGAACAATGCTATGTGGACCCCTCCGACTCCAAGTGGACACTTGTGAGTTCCGAAGTTAGAATACAGGCACTGAAAAGTTCCTGCTCTCCATCTGGGCTCCCATTCAAGCAGAGGCATTCCTAGCAGAATGCCGGCCTTGCTTACTGCCAGTTCGCTCAGCATCCAAAGCAGCTGGGTTTCTTGGGTTAGTGTTAAATGGCAACAGGTCCAGAATGTCAATGTATTAGGTGCTGTGAACCCAGCTGCTGCCCAAAGCCTGGGGGCAAAACAAGAGTTTCCTACTTGTTCCGTCACAGACCTAAATATGAAAGCTATCACAGCAGAACACCAAGTTCTATGCATCTTTGCTCGTAACTCTACGGAATTGTTTCCTTTAAGTTTAGGTCCTCCACTTTGCCAGTAAACAGAAGCACACCAAAAACCTCATGTACTTGCTGAAATCCCCATCTGGGTACCACAGTCTGTTCCTTAATATTCGTTATTTTAAAACCCACAGAGCAAATTCGTATGGAATCTCAGACTTTGGTGCTTCCTGTTCTGAAAACCTGGCCATGTGTTACTCAAAGCTGTTTAGTCATTGCCTGGCTGGGACCCTAGGAAAGTAATCACATGTGAAAAGGCACAGTGCCCTGTTCAGAACTGTGTATGACTGGAAAACCCAGAAGCAACTGAAATGTCTGAAAAAAGAATGTTTTTGCAAAATACAGCACACACTCCAGAGAGGCTGTCAGGGGATTAAAGACTATTGACAATGCACTATGGAATTGAAGACAAATGAAAGCATTGTGTGTGCATATGTGTGTGTGTGTGTGTGTGTGTGTGTGTGTGTGTGTGTGTGTGTGTGTGTGTAAGTATGTATGTATATTTGGGGGGAGGTAGTCCTGGAGAAGCCAGTTCTTCCACAATGACACATCCCTTCCTTTGCTGCACTTCTGGTAGCTGTGCTAACTTGTGTAATTACCTGACAAATGCTTCTCTCTCCTGGTCTACGAAAGGGGCTCTTAGTTTTGTACACCACTTAACATTCAGTCCGAGTAGTTGAAGGAAGGACATACAAGATGTAGCTGTTGATGAGGGACACAAAGGGTCCAGATCAAAGCTGCACTATCAAACTAGAAAGGGCCCATTCTCATCACTTCCACTTAAAACACACACACACAAAAAAAAAAAAAAAAAAAAACAGGAGGGCCAGAAGTAGGTGCAGCAGGGACGGCATTCTAAGCAAGACAGGCTTTCTCTCTGGACCTGTTATGACAGATTGGAAGTGGGACAGATGCCTGGAACAATCTGTCAGGGGAGCAGCAACATATTTAGGCATGCACCTATGTCTGAATTCTGAATGGTCTGAGGCCTGATGATACCTGAAAATACTAGGGAAAGGATGTGCCTCTATAAGATACAAGTGGGGGCCAGTGAGATGGTTCATAGGATAAAGGCACTTGCTGTTAAACCTGATGCCCTGAATTTGATCCTGGGACCCACATAATGAACAAACTCCCTTAAGTAGTCCTCTGATGTTCACACGCAGAGCATGGTATGTGTGTACTCACACCCATACATAAATACAAATAAATCCACCCATTCACCCAAACTTTGTGTCACTGCTATTATGAGTCAGTATAACAGATGGCAGTCATCATGCCCTTAAGGACAGTTAGGAAAAAAAAAGAATCAATGGCTAGTGAATGGCAGGAAGTTGGGTAAAGATTGCAATCATACTAAGGTAAATTTTATAGTTAGGAGCTTATCACATCCAATTCTGGATCAAACAAGTGTACTGAGTTCCCCAGTCTTTGTCAAGTAGGAACACTTCTCCTTCACTGAACATATAGAGGCCTTAAGTGCAATGCCTATTAACTTTTGCTTTTCAGATCAGCACAGAGCTCCTTTATGTCATTATAATCTTGGTACCACTGAAAGTTTAACCTAGATAAGTGGTTCTCAACCTGAGGGTCCCAAACCCTTTGGGAGTCGAACAACCCTTTCACAAGGGTAGACTAAGGCCATCAGAAAACACAGATTATTTACATTACGATCATAACAGTAGCAAAATTTACAGTTATGAAGTAGCAACAAAAACAATTTTATGGTTTTGGAGGTCATCACAACGTGAGGAACTATATTCAAGGGTTGCAGCATTAGGAAGGTTGAGAACTACTGGCCAACACAATTACTGTTGGAGCTTACAGGCTAAACTGTGCCCCTCCCAGACATAAACGTGAGAAGTCTTTTTTTTTTTTTTTTCTTTTTCTTTTTTTTTTTTTTTTGGTTTTTCGAGACAGGGTTTCTCTGTGTAGCTTTGTGCCTTTCCTGGAACTCACTTGGTAGCCCAGGCTGGCCTCAAACTCACAAAGATCTGCCTGGCTCTGCCTCCCGAGTGCTGGGATTAAAGGCGTGCGCCACCACCGCCCGGCTCAAACGTGAGAAGTCTTAATAGCAAGACTGTATTTACAGAGACTCATTAAAGAGGCAAAGTAAAATGAGGTCACATAAATGCATCTGACCAGCATGACAGGTGTCCTCCTAGGGAGACATCAGACAGACATGTGTGCAGAGGGAAGACCATTTAAGGACACTTTGAGAAGGCAGCTGTCTCCAAGCAAAGGAGCGAGGCCTCAGAAGACACCCTATTGATCTAGCCTTCCAGACCCTAGAACTGTGAGGAAAATCAATGCTCACTGTGATAAGGTAGGACAATGTCTAACAGTGGCCCAGGCCCCTGCCCATATGGTAACACTCCTCCAACCCCCTCAAGTGATAGTAAAACTATCTCCACATTCTGTTCAACTGTCTTTGAGGAACAAACTGAGAGAACCAGTTTTAGAACGTACTGACTGCTGGCCATTGGAACATTCCAAGTATTCGATAGAGTGAATGATAGGTTACTATCTGAATACATGTGCCTGGTTTCCCAGTTTGTGTCTCACCTCTTCTTTGCAAACTGCTTTTGCTGCAAATATAACATTGCTTCCAATTTAATGTGTGGCAGATTATGTCATCTTAAAAATGAAAATGGCTTTCACTGTAGCCTACTCCTGGTAACTCAGCAATTATAAACATAATGTCAGTGTTAACCTCTGCTCACTTATTGTAGTAGGACAGGCCCATAGGGTTGAGGAAATTGGCTCAAACCAGTTGCCAAGGCATGCACATAATGTACTCCCTTATGAGCCAACCTGGAGTCTGCCTGAGGGCCTAGCAACAGGCGCAGTCAAGAGTTCTTGATCCTGCTCAGCTAATGAGGAACGACCACACAATGCCACCAGATTGGGTGCTGGGAGGAGGGTATATAAGGCCTTCCCTGTTAGTGAATAAATGAGTTTGTTGTTTGCCTTCAACTGACTCCCAGTGTCTGTGCCATTGACATCGTGCCTTCTTATCCCCTCTCCTGGGGGAGCCGTTAGGATCCAGCAACAACTTATTTCACAGCAGACCCACCAACAGATTCAGTGAGAGGTCTTGCTGTCTGTTTTCCAAACTCAGGGAACTCATAAGGACTATCAATGGTAATGCCAGTATGAAAACATTCAACTCTTGCCATAATGAGGACCCCACCACCCACCCCCCGCCACACATACACATTGTCAGAAGCCTCAAAGCACAGCAAAAAGCCAATGTCCACAGAGATATTCTCTGGAAAGGAGGAGCCATAAATGGTTTTCCTAGCAACAGACTCACTGTTGTAACCCAGCCATATGTGATGCTGTGTGTGAAAGCCTGTGTGTCTGGGCTGGGCAGTGGCTGAGGGGTAGACGGGGCAGGCTAGCTTTGAAATGCCAAAGGCAGGGAAATTTGGGAATTAAAGGCATTTTGCACACAATAACAAATTTTATGACAAAAGGAATATAAAGATTTATAGTCTTTATTCAAATACTCACAAGACACTATTTCAAGGAAATTACAACTTGTGTATTCATTGATAAAATCCATTTATTTCATTTTTTGTTTGTTTGTTTGTTTAACAGCTGGGATTCAAAGTGTTAGAGATCTGCCTGACCCCAGTGGAAAAATACTAACAGTAATAATTTTTAAGTGCCATTTCAGAAGAACATACATATGCTTTGGAGTTATTGTGATTGTTACTTAAATTACAATACTAACTTTCCTGACTTTTCAAAAATAATAATAGTAACTCTGTGACTTTACATCATAAACCTACTCTATATGTAAAACACAGGTGTGTCTAACAAACAAATACATTCATCTTAAGTACTAACCAGTATCTGCTGGTGGCCTGGCATCGGGCACTTATACAAAGAGTGTGGATTATAACAAAAGCATGTACACTCTTTCCCGCTTGTTATGACAAAAAGAAGCTGTTACTGGGGTTGGTTCCCCTCAATGGAAAAAAGTGAAAAATGACTTAAAAACATTCTGAAATAGAGAAGTCAAACCAAAGCAAACACCCATACTAAGGAATGTGTGAGCTGTGTAAAGCTGGTGAATGTGTTTTTAGGGGAGAAACGTCTTAAAGGAAGGAAGCAACTGACCAAGAAGGGTCAAGGGTCATTTCACAACTTTTCTTTTTGTTGTTGTTGTTTTTTCTGAAAAGGCAAAGAAGAATGGAAATAAATTAACTATTACATTTAAAATTAAACATCTTCCCTGGGCACTGCTAAATATGAAACCACACATGGCAATAAAAAATACCATATTCTGGTCACTGTATGGAAAAGCTAGCAAAAGCTCATACTAATTCCTATTCCGCTTGTTTCTTGGTTCAATCTCAGAACTTTCAATAGCTCTAATGCGGTGATTCTGTTGCAGGTTTATTTCTCTGTTCTGATCATTTCTGAAAACAAGAAGAAAAGACATGACATATTAGAAAGCAGTGGTCATTGTTCTATGGGAACTCCTGTGTACTAAGTGCTCTCGCATGCATGATTTCACCAAAACCTTCAACCACTGTCTTCTAGAGACATAGCTATAGTTTGTATTATCACTATAATTACCATTCCCACTTTGTAAGTATGAGAACAATGAATTTGCAAAGACTAAAGGAAGAGTCCTTCCCTTGAATCAAAATGCAGTTTGTGGTGATATTTTATTTGTATGTTAATAAATAAAGTTGCCTGGAGATCAGAGGTCATAGTCAGCCATAAACAGAAACCAGGCAGTGGTAGCACACACCCTTAATCCAATCACATGGCAGGCAGAGTCTCTGTGTGGTCAAGGACACAGCCAAGTGTGGTGACACGAGCCTTTAATCCCAGTACCAACCATAGAGACCTGGAGGTCTGTATAGACAGGCAGTGATGAGGAAGTCATGTGGCTAGGCTTAGAGCCCATGAGGAGGAAGAACAGGAAGGCAATAAAAGCTCAGTTTAGACAGGAAGAAGCTCTCTCTGTGGAAGCTACTGCTGGTGGTAAGCTCAGGCTAGTGGTGGCTATTCGCTCTAATCTCTTCAGCTATTACCTCTGTATTTGGCTCTGTTTCTTATTTAATAAGACTGTTTAGAAATTCGTCTACAGTCTACAGGGCAAGGCAAAAGATCTCCCCTTTACTAGATCAAAGCACACTGCACAGCCAGGTGCAGACCCTTCCAAACACCCGGTAACCACACCCATGGTCCAATCATCCCCTTATGCAGCCCTGCTGGGGAAAACAAGCTCAGATGCTCAGATTTTCAGACCGTGAGTAAGTTCTCACTAGGAAACCTCTGTGGGTCTCTACACTTAAGGCACTCGTAAATACCTTCCAGAGGCAATGTGGTTATCAGTTACCTCAGCTAAAATCAAGGACAAACAATTGGATGGTTCTTATTGTAGGAATAGCAGGGTATGCACACACCACCACCCACATTGCTCTAGAAAATCCTGAGTAACAAAAGGCAGCTTCAATCTGGAGAGCTCTCCACAGTCGTCTGAGGGCCTCATAATCTACCAGTGGTGTTTCTTTGAATTCTTAAAAACTGATAATTATCATCACTAGTGTGTTGTCACGTTTCTGAGATGAAGGAATATTAATACCTAGCTTCCATACAAGCAGCACAATTTGAAATGCTCCCCACAATAGTGATCCTGAAAAGAAAAAAGCACTCATACCTGCTGATTTCCCACAAATGGCATCAGCATCAAGTGGGGTACACAAGTTGACTACACTTCTTAAGAGACTATCAGTAACATCAGGATAGTTTCTTACTCAGTTCAAATAACTAAATCCACTCCTGGTTTTGAAGAGACTGCCATCTCATCTGTACATGCCACCAGCAGGTGGGACAACTGAGCAACAGTATGAGAATGGAGAACCCAAAGACATGTTTCTGTGTGAGAAAGGGCAGGACCTGCTGAACAGTTCAGAAGAAGGCTATGATGAAGGAAGATCAAATTATGTTCCAAGTCATCCGACAGGGAGAGCAGGCCGGAAAACCCAAGGCACTTGCAACTATCGGGAGAATCTCACAATGGCATTTTTCCAGTGTGAAGCGCCTTCCACAGATTGCTCTGAACTCCAGAGTCCACCAGTGTCTTTTTGTGTCTACAACTTCCATAGCCTAGGAGTTCCTCTGTTCAGATGCCAGTGTTATTAGTACTCCTTCCCCTCTACAAAATCAGTGTGTCCTTTCCCATTAGTTAGAATGTCATCTCTGTTTAAACCATCTCCCACATTCATCCAGTCTTTCTACCCAGAAGGGTCAGATCAGGAGGGATAAGGACATTTTTAGAAAACCTACAGAGACTCTTTATGCTCCCCACTTTTGCTAGGGTGGGTCAAAGAAGGGGTTCTCAGCCAGTAATGTACTCAACCAAATGGTTTAGATTCTTCTGATTTAGAACAAGGGCTAGCAATTTTTTATATAATGGTCCAAATATTTTGGGCTTTGACAACTCTGCTGCCACTACTTGACTCTGTCGTAACATGAAACAACAATGAAGTAATATGAACCAACAGGTAAAGGAATGCATGGCTATGTTCTAATAACACTTTATTAACAAAATCAGACAGTGGAACAGATTTGGTTCATGGGCCATGTCTTGCCAACCTACAACAGCCCAATAAAAGAATGAAGTTTAACCTTGGCCAAACTTCCACTCAGAGCCTATACTAACATAGCCAATCCAGGGATGCTGTCTGAGGAGAGAAACAGAGAGACAGACAGACAGACAGTGTATATTGTGTACGAGGATGATTCACAGGAGCAAGTTCTCTATTTTTACCATATAAGCCTGGGGAATCAAACTCAGGTCATCAGCTTAGCTGCAAGCATTTTTACCCACCGAGTCATCTTGCTGGTCCTAGAATTCTGAGCTTTTGAAACAGCATAATCCCAACACCATTTTAAAAGTCATTAAGCAGAAAATGGCCAAAAATGAGAGCATTCAATGATCAATTCTATCTGCGGGAACATGCATTTCTATTGTTTAAGCCATCTAGTCCATGATGCAATAGTCCCCTATGGGTGCTAAAGACTGCCACTCTCTACCAGGATCGTCCCATTTTGCAGTAGGTTATCTATCAAAGACCAGAAGAGCTCGGCAGAACCTACATGTCAAATGGAAATGACATACAGAAGAGTACAGCCAGTCTGGTCCAAGGATCATCTCAGCTTTAGACCAGGCCATTGCAGCTACACTACCAAGGAACATTTCAACCCTTCCTCTGCCACCTTACACATTTATCAAAAGTAATACAACAATAAATAAACCTAATAGAAACCATTACACATTTATTAAAAAATAAGTCTCACATTACCTGATTTAAGGCATTATCAAACACCAATTACAAAATGTTAAAAAGACATCTACATGATCAACAAACATAAGAGTGATTCCAGAAACAAATCTATACACACATATGAAATAGACATGGGTCATCTCTTTAATACTTAATGCTACAGCAATGGGAATGCCTTATACACAAAAGAACCACTGAACCAGTCATTGCCACACCTTATGACACTTATAAAAAATGTACCTGAAATAGGTTACAAACTTTAATGTAAAATCGAATACTTCTAAGCCATAAAAGAAAAATACTGAGCGATTTTGGGTTAGGAAAAGGTTTCCTAGGTAGGACAAAAGTAATTAAAATAGACATAACACATTTCATCAAAATTAAAAGTTGTTCTTTGAGAAACAGTACGAAGAAAATGAAAAGGCAAATAAATAGAGAAAAGAGAAGAATGAGACCCCAGGAAGGTCTGCGGTTCAGTGTGTCTGAACACTGTTCCTGACATAGCACTTTAAAAGAGCAGAGATGGGCCTGTGCCTGGAGAACATGAAGGACTCACAGAGCCAGAGAATTCCCAAGTTCTTTTGCTTTAGGAAACTATTCTCTGAGGAAGGCAGAAGCCCACTGGTGAGTGGTACACCATCAGCATGCAATTCTGCAGGCCTACTGTAACCTGCATGGCCTCTATCCACAAAGGGCTGTAGGGCTGTGATGAAAGGGAGTCTGTGTCCATGGCAATGGTTTTTTTTTTTGGGGGGGGGGGGGGGGGGTTGGGGGCTGGATGAAATTTTACTTCTTGCTGCCTGTGGTAGCTTTCCATTCCATCTTTTTGCTTCATGTACTCTGGACTCTTGTTACATGTATATATGTTCTCAATCATTTTGTCTTCTTGATAGATTGACCTTTTCAAGATTATGTCTTTGGCTCTGTTACACTTTTTACCTTCAAGTCTATCTTGTCAACACTATTGTTATATTAGCCTCCTTCAGGATGGCTATGACATATCCTTTTCTATTTTTTTGCTTTCAATATATTGGTGTCTTGGAATCAAAGATGTGTCCTTTGTAGACAAAGCACAGAGCACAGCGCAGCTTTTTTCAATCCATTCTGTAGTGTCTGTATTCTGATTGGGTTACATCCCCATCACTCATAGAGCAGAATTTGTGTGTTGCTTTTGTGTGTGTGCGCGCGCGCGCCATTTCTCCATTCCACCATCTCTGTCTTCTTTGGTGTTATCCAGATACCTTCTATTGTAGCATTTTTATCCACTGCGAATTTATTCTACTTTATCTTAAAACACCATCATCATCATTTTTTTTTTTTTATTTTGAACACAAGGTCTCATGTAGCCCAGGCTGACTTCAAACTTGATACAAAGCTGAGGATGACCTTGAACTTCTGAACTTCCTGCTTAGTATAAAACACTGCTAATGAGGCAAGGAAAGTGAATTCTGAAAATGGCCTCTGGATTTAGCAGTATGGAGGCCTTCAAAGAAGACTGGAAATGGAAGATAAAGAACCAGAAACTGCAAGATGACATCACGACTAGGAAGCGGGAAGGGGGTCGACCTGTGGCTGCAGAGGCTCCCACTGCACACTAAGGACAAAGGGAGAAAGGCCCAGCTAAAAGGGAGAGGCTGCCCGTGTAAGAGAAAGAAGGACAAAGAAAAGTGCCTCCAGACAAGTGGGTAAGGAGGAGGCAGAAGGAGAAATTCACCTCAGACATGAGGAAGGATTTTCTTTTTTATTTACCCCAAGCCTGTGCTTAGCAAATTATCACACTGTCCAAAGGAATAACAAGGACATAGAAAGGACATCAACAAGTAACTTGTTATTACACCAGGACTCCAGTTCCACAGTGAGACTACACAGACAAGAAACACAGCACAAGTCTTTGCTTTCCACCTGGATTATTAGTCTCTTAGTCCATTCGAAAGCACAATGTCTTGTCTAGAATTAGCTGCACAGGGCTCCCATTTCTCAGGCCCCAGCTCACACACTTGCTGACGGTGAGAACTCACCTGTGAGATGCTTCCCAGGCTTCCTCTTCCTCCAGAAGATCTCTTATGATGTCCGAACTGGAACTAAAAGGACATGTGTCAGCAATGCCACACTGTGAGGTCTTTCCTGATCCAAACATGAGCACTGAGGAGCTAGGGTCAGCAGGAAGGACAAAGTGGCACAAGGCAATAGGAAAGGGTAGGCATATTCACCATCCACACTGTGAAGATGGTTTCATAGTCACACACCTATGGTATGTGGAACCTCTTCAAATTGGGTCCCTTAGATATTTACAATTTATTATATGCCAACTAAATTTCAAAAAGCCATAAAAACTTTAATGAGTTATCAATGATGAAAACAATAAACAAAGCTTAAATAAATCTCTCAACATAAAACCTGAATCTAGACAGAGCAATGACATGAGGCTTTTTAATCTGCTATGCTAATCAAAGATAACATTACAATTTGGTCAGTTCCCAGCACTACTATCAAAAAGGAAAAGAGAAAGAGATTGTGCTTTTAAAACTAAATTTTAGTGATGAGATCCCCAAGAGGTAACTGGCCAAGTGGCTTTTAGTCTCTTGGTAACCAACATAGAGAAAAACATAATGCATGTGAGCAGTGCTAATAATGGAAATGTGTTATAAAAATGTGATCTAGCTTAAAATGCCACACTCTCTAGTGGTGCATGAAAAATAAGGTCATAGGGAGCATGAATTAGTCCTTTAAAAGAAAAAACTATTTGAAAGCTTTAGCATCTTGTTCTCATATAATCAATAAAAATGACTTTAGAAAGGCCATGTGTCCACCGGTATCAAATATATTTTTCTAGACATTCTACATAGAATGTCACGGGAACCATATGGGACACTCAAAAACAAATATCACCTAGCAGAAAGAGGAAAGCTAGGGTGAGAAACAACAGGCTCAAAAATACTAAATGCGAATAATGTCTCCAATGATACACTAACAAATAACAAAAGCTTTAAATTATGAAGATTTAAAGTGCCAATGAAGCACTTGCAACCATTTCTGACAAACCACACTGAAGTAGCATTTCCCTAGGACACCTAGACAAAAGGGGCCACAGAGGTCATCAAATACAGCTTTGCACCAAATGTCTCATTCAGTGTATTTCCACAAGTCCTTAGATTCTCAAAGGAGTTTCATGAAGGGGTGGTGAGAGGTTGTCCAGTTGAAATGCATGTGTAACCCCCATACTTCTAGTACATTCCCTGAGCTTCTGAGAACAAGGAGCTCAGGGTATCTGTGGCTTGAAAAGTAACCACATAATAAGGAACAGATGTGAACTCAGTAATACTTCAGTTGTGTTTATTCATATAGCAGTATACACATATGATTTTTTAAATGGTGGGGACACTAGCCTGTCGCCAGTCAATTCGGACTTATCTACATATGCACTGCAATCATTCCTTTAGGTCCCTGTACTCGGGACCCCTAACCCAGCATGCCACAGTACCCAAGCATGTACTACTGTCTCCCACTAAGAAGTTGCCCCTCTCAAAAGCTAGGTGTGCCCCCAGGAACAATGACCAGCTTCTTCGTTAATCAATTTCACCTAACACAGGACTGGAACAAACCTTTCCTAGTAAACAATTACTGAACTGAGTTTTTATTAGAAGAGGAAGCAGGGCAGCAAGCCCTGCAGTCAGTTAGCTGACTTCACTGACTTTATTACTCTCTGGAAGGCAGACCCACATAACCCCTCACTGGGGAGGGCACATGTCCACTGCCGCTGTCATTCCCACAGAAGAGGTTTAAACCTTTCTGGCCACAAAATCTCAATTCTGGCTCCTCTTTGTTATGCAGTAACTGTTCTAATTGCAGAAGAAACCTGCAATTTACTCTTTCATGTCCCCTGACAATGTGGCTGGCATTATTTCTGGGAGTTGGGGAGATACTTGATTATGTTGCTGGCCAGTGTCACATGGTCAGAAGAAATAGTAAAGTCTGCTTCTTGTCCAATACCCCCACCCACCACCAAAAACACTTTAAATGACTTTAAAAAAAAAAAAAGGTTATGGCCAGACATGGTGGCACACACCTTTAATCCCAGCACTCTCAAGGCAGAAGCAGGCTTTGAGTTCCAGGCTAGCCTGGTTTACAAAGCAAGTTCCAGTTTCAGTCCTGTCCAGAAGCTGGTAGTCTGTGATCGCTTTTCCTAGGTGCTTTCAAATCAACCAGCACAGTCACTGACTGCTAAAGGGAATATGTGCAATGCACATGGCATACACTTGAGATGTACACAATAATGCCTCAGTGAAAACAGATTGCAGATTCACAAAGCACACCAAGGTGCTTTCTCCTGTCTTCAACACTGATGCCCAGCTATGCAGGCAGCTTCCCAGTGTCCTCAATTTTCATTTCTTTCCTGCAGTGGAATGTCGTTCTGTATGCTGTGAATGTGTGTTGCTCTGATTGGTTGATAAATAAAATGCTGATTGGCCAGTAGCCAGGCAGGAAGTATAGGTGAAGCAAGCAGACAAGGAGAATTATGTGAAGAGGAAGGCTGAGTCAGGAGTCACCAGCCAGACACAGAGGAAGCAAAATGACAAGGCAGAACTGAAAAAGGGTATCAAGCCACATAGCTAAACATAGATAAGAATTATGGGTTAATTTAAGTGTAAGATCTAGTTAGTAATAAGCCTGAGCTAATGGCCAAGCAGTTATAATTAATATTAAGCCTCTGTGTGATTATTTTATAAAATGCTACAGGACTGTGGGTGAGAGATTTGTCCCAATTGTGGGCTAGGCAGGACACAGGAAAACTTCCAGCAACACTTTCCACTATATCTTAGACTCTCAAGAGAATGATCACAAAATCAAAAACTGACTGATACAAAGTCTAGGAAGTGTCAAGTGTACTAGCTATGAAGTTTCAGGCTCTATGGTATATCTACTACTTCAATTTTTGCCATCACTGAATACTAAGAGTTGATAGGAACACATGGCAATACCAGACAAAACTGTTCAAACCTGTCTGAAGTAATTCATACACCGAGTCCTTCTCAAAAGCCAGATGTTAGACACTAAGCATACAATCCCATAATTACGATTTTACAAAGGGACTCCACACTTAAGTTAATGTTACTAAAATTATCACTCAAGGATTTCTTTGCTGTAGACAGAAGCAATTAATATTTTTGAAGATTTGGTCATTTTAATTTGCCTTGAAGATAAAAAAAATTCTAAAAAACCATTAAGACATTTAAAAAAAAATCTTAGGAGAAATTTAATTACTCACTCTGATATACCCAGGGTCAGAGCATGTGCAATCCTACACAAACATAACTTTTACATCTAGAGCAAAAAACTTCTGCATAGACTTCAGCATCTCTACCAGCTAGCTTTATAACACTTGGAAGACTGTAATTTAGGAGGCTGGATAAGCAGGAGGTCTGGCACATGAAAGTTACAGCATAACTATGGAAGAGTATTGAGATTGTGTCCTCTGATGTCACCATCTATCCAGCTATTGTGGACATTATTATATAGATTAGATGTGAGAAAGTCTTACTGACAATTATATGAATCTTAAATTCTGAATCCCAACCTGGGTTCTGGAAGATTCTAACTTTTCATCACTTAGACCTTATTTTCAGCTCAAACTTGAGAAAGATGAGTGTGCACATGCACCTTGGAATAGCTGAGAATGGCATTCTTGCTCTCTGAATATTACTTCTAAAGAAAAGGCTATTTGCATATTCCTTTTCTAGCAGACAATTTCATCAAACAGTAAAGATTTTACTATGAAAGCTGACAAGATATCAAATACTCCTGCAAAGCTATGATGAGAAGTTGAGGGGCAGGGGGAGGGTGGGACGGACATGCACAGATTTTAGTGACAGCATTGCTAAGATGAACTCCTGTTCCTGTCACTGAATGTTCAACCTTAGGCAAGTTCTGGAACCTTTCTAAACCTCAAAGCCCATATTTCTAGTCAGGACACGTATTTTCCAGGGAAGATGAATCAATACAGCACACTAAATGTTAAGTACACAGGTTGGCACATAGTAAGTGTTCAATCAATGTTGCCTCCACTTTCATAAAACAGATTTGAGCCTGGATTTTCCAAATAACTGTCACAACACTGCTTCAATTTGCCCCAGGAAACCTGATCACTATATGCACCACTTTAATCTTTGATTCCCACTGTTTCTATGACACCAGGTGCAAAATCATCAGAGCCTGTTATTTATCCGGCTTGGCAGGTACGCAGGGTACTGAGCAGTAGGAAAAACGCAAACGTTTGCTATAAAAATCCTGTGGATTAAAAATTACTTACAAGTGGAATTTTCTATTATCTAATAGTTACCTATTTCCAAGTGTCTTCATTGTGGCAATAATTTGAATGTGGTTGAGGATATGTAACATTAAAATAAAAAACAACTCCCTTGAGCACAAATCACCAGAGGAATCATTAAAAGGGTATAAAACCTGCCTGACAAGGATCTTTCAGTAAATGCTGCCCATTAACATGAATCCTTCCTCAAAGCATGATTTCTAGTAATTTTTTTCTGTAGGGTAAGCTAATAGCTTATATGCTAAATACTCTAGTAGTGGGCTAATAGTGACATAATAAAAGTCAACATTCATAGATTTTTTTACAAAAATCACTCAATGATGACAAAAGGTTACCATTTTTCTGAGTAACTACTCTTACCAACCACCATGATAATTACCTTACACACACTAACTTTAATTCAGACCTGCTCTAGGTTTCTTGCCATTTGCAAGATGTACAGAAGCTCAGAAAGATTACAGCAGAAAAAAAAACCAAAAAAACAAAAACCAGGAATGCCGAGATCATCCGTCAGCCATGCTGCTTCAGCCAGTGGAAGCAGAAACTCAAATACTATTCATCTGCAAGAGTTAATGTAGCTGGAGTTTTCTCCAGTCCCGCCCAGGCCTGCAGCCACTCAGACCCAAATAAACACATAGACGCTTACATTAATTTAAACTCTTTGGCCTAATGGCTCAGGCTTCTTACTAGCTAGATCTTACACTTAAATTAACCCATAATTCTTATTTCTGTTTAGCCACATGGCTTGGTACCTTTTCCCAGTTCTGCCTTCACATCTTTCTTCCTCTGTGTCTGGCTGGTGACTCCTGACTCAGCCTTCCTGTT